CTCTCTCTCTCTCTCTCTCTCTCTCTCTCTCTCTCTCTCTCTCTCTCTCTCTCTCTCTCTCCCTCCCTCCTTTATTTCGCCTAGCTAATCGCACGTTCACGCGCTGAAAGTAAATAGCCACCGAAAATAACGAGGTCTTCGTATGCGCGGCGTGTCCGACCGCGCATAATGCGCATTCACTCGCGAGGCTGGCCATAGTAGTTGCAGCCGCGATAAGGTCGGCCATTCTGTCTGACCACTTTCAGATATTACTACTCGCCGGTTTCCGCGGAGCTCTACCGCGCTCGACGATCATGCACGCCCGGTTTAAATGCGCACAGCGGGATTCCGCACGTGCATTGTAAATCATCGTTTACTGCCCGGCCGCGAGATTGGATGGACTTTTTGGACTTGGCCGATAATTCCGTGTCTTAGATGCCTCGATTGCGCGCGGCGCGAAATGGGAAAGGTGTGCCGAGGGACGCGTTATGGCGGATTTACACATTTTTCGTCGAACGAGAAGCCCCTTCCGTTTTTGTTGGCCGATTGCAGTAAAGGTTCCGTGCTGTTAACGAGAGCGGAAGTAAAGAGAAAAAGAGAGAAAGAATATTCGCGTTGTTGTATAATTTATCGTTTGCGACGTTGAATTATTAACGCGCGACCGTTGACATTGATTTACCATTTCATCGGTATATCAGTCGCAGCGACCACGCAACGCAATCACGTTATGCATTCAGGGTGTCCACCACCACCCGGAAAAAGCTTGGCAAAGCGTCGAGAAACTCGCCGCAGGTTTCTCGGGCTCTCGTTTTCCAATCCAGAAACAACAACAATACGTTTGAAAACACAAGCGCGACGGTGCTTACGCTTCACTGAGGAAAATCAGTCGATTACTTTGTATGTAAATAATGTTTCGCGTATTTGTGACCATAATTGTGTGATGAAGCAATTATAATGGGGATTGTCGTAATAAACGTCGCTGCAGTTAAGGAACCATTATCAATTCAACAATTACGTCACACCACGACGAGAGAGAGGAAAGGGTAGGTCTGCTAACTAGGGTGACGATCTGTGACGAAGGGGATGGGGAGGGAGGTTAAAGGTCATGGAACGTCTCATGTATGCTGCATCAAAATTTCTACACAGAAATATTGTATTCTCTAGAAATACTTGAAGTCTGTTTTAACAATCGAAATGTGTTAATTTTGAGAAATACATTTTTCTAAGATAACGTAACTCTTTCTAGTGGAAATTATAAAACAAAGTAATCAGTTTGATATAATACTTGAAAATTACATTTGTATTTTATAAAAAGAGAGAATAGCGTGCAGTCTGCAATAATTATTACTTACAGTATAACTATAAGCTATTTTTTCTTCTATCTGGGGGAGGAGGTAATTCCACGTAATTCAGTACTGAAATCCAAATACTTTGTTACGAAATGTGACGAAAGGGAGGGGATGGGGGAGATAATAAATACTCGAACTTCGCGTGAGGCAATTGTTAAATGGCCTCTTAATGACAATAGCCTTGCGCGCATGTTGGCGCTATTACTTCCCCGCTGGAACAACACGTAGAAAAAAGGAATGTGCTTGTCCCCGGGGATGAGTATAATTCGAGTGAAATTAACCGTTCTCTTTTCTCCCGCTGTTTGCACGGCGATAATTACCCGCCAAAATACTGGTCGCGACGTCGTTACATCGTCGCGTTACAACAGCTTCGCGCTGCGCGAATTAATGTTCCCGCGGATATTTTCTCGGGGAAGGATAGGTGATAGAGGGAGTGGGGGATGGGGAAGAACATAAAGTACACCCGTAGAGCGACGAATCTCTTTCCATCTCGCGCTAATTGTACGGCGCCGTGCGCGCGCGCGTGTTGTTTGCTGCAAATGAAGCAATGCTTCATCGTTCCGTTGAAACGCAGTCATTATTACACTTCGTGTCAGCCCCGTCGTCGTCGTCGTCGACGCTGTTGTTGCTGCTGCGTATTATGTCGACGTATACATTACGGTGGCCGAAGTATCGCAGTACCAAAGTTTGCAGTCTGCATCGGGTTGTTTGCGCCATTTATTAGCTCTGACAGTGCGCGACGATCCCTACCGCGCGCGCGTCGTCCCCTTTTTATCGATCTACTTGCTCTCGTCGTCGTCGTTTTCGTCGTCGTCGTCGTCGCGCATCGATTACTTCGCACGCCTATCGCTTATCGTCTTATCCCGATACTCGATCGTCTTACGAAGGTAAATTTGCCGAGACACTTGGCGCGTCAATCCCCGCCGTATTTTCACTGTCGTCCGTCGCGATTACATGTAAATCTGTACCTCAAGAGAAGAAGGAGAGAGTGCAGCCTCTCCTTGGCTGCAGTCGCGGAAATCTTTAGAACTTGCAAACGTCTCCTTGGAGTCTTGGAATTCTTGCGGACTCTCTCCTTGAGATCTGAACGTCCTCCCCCCCCCCCCCCC